CCCCCTTGGCTCGCCGTGCGGTCTTCCGCGCCTTTCTCTGTGCGCCCCCTGCACGACCACTTGGCTGTACAGCACAGCAGCACCACTGCTTGCAAACCGAGCTTTTGCCAAAGAAGAAGAAGACAGAAAATTGGACACGAGACGATTATTGTTCAGCTCGGACTATGAATTTCATTAACTATAACGTAAACAACTCTCTGCATACATGTCCAGGAACGTGGGTAGGTAGGGCAGGCTGCATGCATAGCAAGCGGCATTCCAACAATACATTTCTTCAGTTAGCGAGGCACATGTGGGAAAAGGGCAAGGAAAGGAACAAAAAACGACTAGGGAAAGGTAGACATTTGTGCAGCAAACATCATGGGGCCTGACGAGAATTTATGAAACGCTACAGTAACACCAAAAAATGTACTGCTGTGCATTTAGATAAAATAACCCAAAATAACCCAACTTGCAAGATCCTCTGCGCCGAGACGAACATTGATGTGGCCGAGGCGGCGATTGTTTCACAGAGCTGCTCGACGTGGGCGTCACGCAGCGTACATCTGATGCAGGGGTAATGTAGCCAGCATCTAAGTCTAGACGACGATCTGTGAAATATTAGACAGGTCTTAGTCTGTGCGATTCATGCAGTCGAGTTGACTAATGTAGACAAACATTTAGTCAAACACTTAAAGTTAACAGATGGTGTGAGTAAGGGGGTGTCCAATACCCCCCCCCCCCCGTATTATAACTTCAGCGAGTCTGAACTCTGTAAATCTTTGTGTATATATCCAGTATTGCCAATTTGCTCCACGTACTGCTGTCTGGTGACGCTATTAGGTGATCCTATTTTGCATCTGCATTCAGACGAGTTAATTTCTACTCGTCCATGGTCAGGCTCGTTCAGATCTCTGATCCTAGTCATTGTCACGCTGGACGAATTTCGTCCAGTCTTGGTCGTTGCGGACTCAACATTTGGTGAAGAAGAGCCAAATGGCCTCTTTTATTTTCCACCAAAAAATTGACAGGGAATTTTGAGACTTCAATGAGGTGCTCAATCTGCGAGCAAGACGCCAGGCATGGCCAAGCAAAGCGCAGATCCAGCGCAATCCCATGCAGCCGATGTATTGTGCAAACATTCATAATGGACATCGTGTTCATTTGTGGTTGTAGCAGAGAAAGCAACACATTGCTATAACACAATACAGAGCTTTGTGTGCAGCGTACGTGGCATTGGTGTGATCACGGGGTGGTGAGAAGACGTATGTGATGGAACGCGGTCATAGAGCGTAGCAAGGAGGAGGATTGTGTGAAGGGAGTGGCACTGAAGGAAAGCCGATGGTGTGCATCGTAGATTAGAGATACGAAAGAGATGACTCATCCATTCATTGCAAATGCTTGGGATGAAAGTTTAAGTTTCCCAGCTCGCTTCCAAAGTTTAAACGCAGATTTCTAATGTGCACGTAAGTGTGGTCGCAGCTGTAAATCGTGTATAGTTTTCCGTGTTGCTAGTTTATTTAGTGGGCATACAACGAATGTATTTGTTGTGTTTTCCATAGCTATTGATTTAGGTCAAAAAAAAAAGTGAACTTGTAAAATAAGTCAAATTGTTCAAATGAAGTTATAATAATATTCAGTGAAGCCCTTTGTCAATCCACTGCTAGATGAACGTATCTCCGTGACGTGTCGATCATGGAGGTGGTTTGATAGTTGGGGAGTTGAGGGCTGCATTTGTTCAGATTATGCTCACCACTGATGTTAGCCGTGGCTGTCATTCAAACTGCGGTTGCTGGCTTCATAGTTGATTGCGCTAACCACAAAAAAATATTATCCAAAAACAAAAAAATACAATACAAGCTTCATTGAAGATTGCCTGGTGACATGAACTTGACTTAAATGAGTCAGCATCGCTAAGACCCTGAGCTTAGGTTGCAGGCTGCCACTCAGTGTTAATCCCGGTTCTCACATGACTCTAAGAGAGTCTCTGCTGACACGAGCCACTGCACAAAAATCCCATTGTCAGACTTTTTTTTATCTTGATACGGCGGAGCCCAGCACTGGGGGCGACTCGGTACATACCTCTGAATGGACGACCTAATCTCTCATCTGCACACGCTGCGCATGGCATGGGCTTCCTCCTGGCTGCCCCATGGACCTTCCTTGTATGTGATCTGTGTCACTGTATGTGGCTCTGCTGTTGTACAGGAATCTTGGGAGATAAAGCGTTCCCTCGGATCTGCCAGCTTATAACAAGATCGGGATACATTCAATGAACAAGTTGAATAAAAATCGAGATTTGAAGTTTTCGTGACTGCAGGGTTCCATACTCTTTGGTTCTTTCGGTAAAGTCACGTAGGTAGAAAATAAAATAAATTATATCACTTAATTTATTTTATACCTACGTGACTTTACCGAAAGAACCAAAAAGTTGAATAAAACACTTATAGATTGTCCCCTGCACAATGGTAGTGGGGTGTTTGAAGTTTGATTATGGCTGTGTACTCTATCACGGTTGTCAAATGTTTGATTGGCAAATTTGAATTCTGTGTTGCAAACGAGTGAAAGCCCCCCAGTATTTAAACATGTCAAAGACTGTGCACACAACTCTTTTGCAAGAGCGTAGTACTGAAGCAATGGAAAGCTGCCATTCACCACTGTCTACTACGTTGCTTTATGCAATGAATGGAGTTATTGGCAAGCTGATACACAGCTGAGAGACCAAGGATGTATTCATCAAAGAGGTGTGTTTATCATCTGATAAAAACGTACACTTATCTACATATATGCAATGTATATTTTAAGGAGAGACTTGGATTTCACCTGGACTTGCTGTTCAGTGCTGGAGTAACACAAAGCTGCTTTGTAGCTGGAGACCAGGTTTGAGGCCGGAGTTTTTTCCAAGTGGCGGGTGATTTTATGGCCTCATCCCCATTGGTGAAGAAACATTTTTCGTGTCAATTGCTTTGCAGGGAATGGCACGCGGTGTTTGTCTGCAGCTCCCGCGGTTATTATCTAAGCCCTGTTGGCTTTGGACAGTTGGAATCCATTCTGGAATACAAACTCTGAACGTCATTACTTCCAACCTGCCTACCAGTGAGTGTCCATTCAGACACAGCATGGCGGTACTGCTGCAGCACGGGAGATCCAGGCTGCAATGTTCCCTTTAAGCCGTTCGTGTTGTTTTTCACCATCCTTAACGGGATCAACGTGACATTGTATTTGTTTGAAATCACACCTCGTGATGATTATTGAGGATTCTCAGTGCAGCCTTGCTTGGTATATGTTGCCAAAAATTTGTATTATCATTTTGCGCTCGGGAGGAAACCTGAACGACCCTAGAAAAACTAAATCTGAGCGTGCGTAACACTGCCAGCCCTGCGCAGACGGGCGCTCGTGCCCCTCGCGGGCAGCTCGCCCTGCCCAACGGTGAGGTGTCCCGCATCGTATCTGTGTGACCCCGCAACCTGGTGGCATGCGCAATACCTTCTGGGAACGTTCTCATCCGAGCCAAACGTATGTCGTGGCGACGTCACTAAAAAGAGGTGAAGGTGGCTTGATGTGCATCCCGCCTGCAGTGTAGTCCATGTGCAGCAACCAACCCGAACGCAGTGCCTCCCCGGGACTGTGCCACTTGGTAGCGAGGTGCTCGTGGAGCTGTGGCTTTGCCTGGGTGCTGCTTCTCCTGTCACGACAAAGGGGAGCCCCGGCTGCCGGCTAGAACCACAGCGGGTGGCGCTCGCCGCGGTGCTTCTGGAGTGTTTGACGCGAGACCCAGAGGGCGCTGAGGAAACTGGGGGGATCTGGTTTATTCCGCTGATGCTGGGAGATTCAGGTTGTGCCGATACTGCAACGCAACGTGACGTGTCCCGCGATACAGCGATCCATGTCAAAATATTTGTTCCACACACATAGTCACAGGTAGCTTCCTTCTTTTGTAAGCAAGTTCAAACATTTGCTATCGTGCACTGTTATGAGCCCAGTCCATCACATGTGCACTTATCACACAGTGAGCTCTTTGGAATAACGCTGTTTCAAGTCTTTTGCCAAAGTGGCTCCGACTCACGGATGAATTCCGAACATCTGCCACAGGTAAAACTGGTTCCAGGTCTCTGGGCCGGAGACCCCGGTGACGCTGCGCTCGCCGTATCGCCGCACGAAGTTTGCGTGTGGGTCCAGTGGGATTGCCATGTAACCAGCGCAGAGTAAACTTGTAGGTGTCGAGGCTGACTCGGCTGCCGCGATGACGACTGTAGTTGGCACAGCAGCAAACTCTGAAATGTGAGGCCACGACTTCCTGGCTGAGCTTACCTTGGCCCAGGTCCCCCCTGGGTCGGTGATTGGGCTGCAGCTGCTGAGGCTGCTGCGCTGGGCGGAGAGAGGTCTTGACTTTACTATTTTGAGTAACCAAATGTCGTATTGTGTACGGCTTGTCCATCCTCAAGTTGAGTCTTCATTACATGCGGGATGCGTCTCTGTCTCAGGTCTCTTGTTGACGTTACACGTTTCCGCTCCGGTTGGAGTTATGCAATGTTAATCGCACACCGCAGTGAATTGCAAGGCAGTGGTAATCGCAAACCACGCAGGAGTAATAAACAGGGGTGTTGTGTTGCTGAGTGTGTGAAGAGAACTCCTGTCCTGTTGAGGCGGCCGCGCTGTGTGTTCCCTGCTGGTGGGGTCCCGGCTCACAGTAAAGCAGGCTCGCTCACCTGAAGGCCGTGCAACAGCAGAGCTACGCATCCCACCCGGATCGACCGCTCGAGAGCTCGATACCCCTCAAGGAGCCATGTGAACCGTCAGACTGATGAAAACTGATTGTGACATATGTTGCACGTCTAACTTTGCTGATTTCGGAAACAAAACCCAATTATGCGCATAGCCTGTGTGTGCGTCGTGCAGCCGTGGGCGACCATGCCGAGTCGGGGACAGAGTTCGACTTTGGAGCAGCACCATTACACGCGAGCCTCCCGGGCCCTCCCGTATGTCCCGATGCTTAATGCCTGCATCGCTTGCTTTTTCAGAACGCGGCCACCATGGACCCGGCTCGACAGGAGGTGGACGCACAGTCTCTGCGTGACTACGGGCTCCAGATTCGCTTCATCGAGGACTTTGCCAACGCGCCGGCTCACAGAGGCGGGGGGAACCCTTTGAGCGAAATGAATTCCTCCTCCTCCTACGGCGTGCAGATCAGCATCCAGGGCATCAAGGGCCAGCCCTTTGTGGTGCTCAACTCGAGCGAGCAGCCCGAGGGCGGCCTGCCGGACCCCCCGAAGCTCACACTGCCGGAGCCCAAAACGAAAACCGCCGAGAGCCTCCTGGCCCTCAACTCAAACGGTTCTTCGGTGACCACCGAAGACCCTCTGCACAAGAAAACTGAGTACACGAGGCCAGAATTCATGCGGGCGCGAGAACAGGCACGATCCACAGCACTGAAGGGTCAGAGTTCAAGCCAGAAGCTGAACTTTCAGAAAAAACCTTGGATCCTTCAGCCGTACAGGCCGGCCGACAAGGCACAATCATGTGTGGATGGGCAAGAGAGGGAGAAAAATCCAAAAGTCGGGGTGACGCAGCCGGCGGTGAAAGGGGAGGCCAACGGTGTGGGAAGCGCGCTTGCAGGTCAAGCCACAAGAGTCATCGACAGCGCAAGTGTGCGGGGCCCCCCATTGCCCGCGGCCGGGAAGACGCAGGAGTTGTGGGGAAGGCGGAGCGGGGACAAACCTCCGGTGACGCGGTCGGTGTCGAGCATGAGCGAGGAGTCTGGCAGGGCCGGCAGCGACGTGGACAGCCTCGGGCGCTCCAACGCGAGCTCCGCGTCCTCGCGCTCGCGAGCGTCTCCCGAGCGGCCGCCGCTTCGATCGCCGTCCGAGGACGGCCTCGACGAGCTGCGTGGGGAGAGCGCCAACCGCCACGAGAACCGGCGCTACATCCCGTTCCGCGCGGGCACGGGCCGCGACATCGACTCGGGACACATCCTGTCCATCGAGGAGCTCATCGGGCAGTTCGACGAGGCCAGCGCGGCGGTGCGCGGGCGTCCCCGAAGGCGCACAAAGATCTCGGCAGGCGACCGCGTGCGCTCACGCAGCCTCGAGAACTTCTCGAGCGCTCGGTCTGGCGAGCGGGAGAATCGGACCGAGAGGAGCCGCGTGGAGCTCGACGGCCCGAGGAGCGGCGTGTGGTGGGGGCAGGCGAGCGCGGGCGGTCACGACCCCCTTCTGGAGCCGCACGCGAAGGTGGCCACCGCCGCCGTGACGAGCTCCATGCGGCTTACGTTGGCGTCCCGAGCGGAGGCCACCGGCGGCGGCTCCGTCGGCGCCAAGCAGGTGCGGAGAACACACCGCACGTGTACGCGCGCGCTGGGCCAGAGCCTTGGCCTTGTTCACACGTGCGCCATTCTGCTCATCACAGCACCAAACTCATTACCAGCGTTGGGATTTCACACCTCCTCATCCCTGTACAACGTCTGAGTGCTTCTTAAATCAAATGTGTTGTGTCGTGTGGTTTGACTCTTGTATTTTGCATGTAATTATATATTTCTCCATTTGTTGGGTAGATAGGTGAGTCATCAGAGCCCAAAATATTAGGGATTTTAAACTAATGTAATGTATTTCGTAATTTTGTCACCTGTGACGGTGTGATTTTGTGAAAAATTGCACAGTGATTGAGGCCTTGCCCAAGTACGTGTGTGCAATATTATTTTCCTGATAGATAGCAGACAAGTCACATGATCAGAGATGGCTGCTCTTTGTGTTGTGCCCACTGAGGTTGTCAAGACGGTGAGCGCTGTCGCAACTGTGAATCGTGGTAACATTACAGGGAGTGGGAACAGCTGTGAATTACCATAAGCATGTTTGTGTGAACAACAGAATTGGCAGGGCCAGTTGATGCTTTAACTCCAGCCAACCTTGCCCACTGTTCAGAAATGAATTGTGTACAAGTCGGAATGAAGAACACAATCGGCGTTCATGGGGATATCTATGGAAACATGACTTTATTCAATCATCCATCACAAGCATGACTTTCAAGAGAGGGTACCAGAAACGTTAACAGAAGACCAGGATTAGTGTTTATTGTGGCGTTTACAAAATACGTTTTATTAAGCATACATCCGAACAAACAAAATAAACCCACAGACCTGGTTACCCTCGTGAAACATCTCTGGTGCAGGTACGCACAGTATCATGTGTGGTGTTGCACAGAGTAAACAAAACACGCAAGAGGGGAAAGAGAAAGGGTGAGGAACGTCTTCTCTCAGGTGGAACACTAAGAGACCGAAGATGATCATGGAGAGAGACTGTACCTCGTGGTATTTTCGTCCGTGTGTGCCAGTGCCCCCTGATGCTCAATAGCTGCACTTTCCACAGCACATCGCCTCTCCCAGGGAGGGTAAATCATGTTATTTTCAATGTATTAACACTTTTTGATGGAAAACCATGATGTTAATTTGCAAATGCATTTCATTATATCTCGGAATGCGTATGGACGGATTGCCCATAAATGATCATGTCAAAGCTAGTCCGCTAGCACGATGAAACGTTTGTAACGTTTTGCCAAATAAGGAAAGTACCTCAGGACAATCCTAAGAAGCATGACCCTATGTCTGTGTACCGTCATTGGGGGGTGTGTTGGGAAAAATCTCCTCTGAGATGTAATATTCGTAGCTCTTATGTTGGTTTTTTTGAGAGCCGCGTACGAAACGAAATTAGATGAGGTTCTGCGGCGAAGACTTGAATCTGCCGTGTGCGGATTTCCAATAAAGTCTTAATGCCCTTCCTCCAGGACTGTCCGTACCGGTCCCTTTCTGTAGCTTTCCAATTTTTTCCCAACGCATTTTTGAAAGGAGGCCAGAGATATGAAGGTGTCTAAAAAAAAATTGACATCGGAAGAAATCGTACATTGGCCTTGTGTCTTCATTTGATCTCCACCCATGGGCAAATCCCCATACCAAACCGAGGGGTTTCACCAGCGGTTATTGTGCCTTATGCAGTATGAAGACGACACGTGTTGTCATCTCAGTGTAGCCATTCTACCACCACCAAGTAGGCACATCCACACACCGGAAATCCATCGATTCCGTGTGGCTGGGAGGGCCCCTCTTGTGCGCCCACCACCACGGTCTGAACCTTTTCCCCTGAAACTGGGCTTCAAGACGTAGTGTGACGCCGTGTGTTCCCACAGGCAGCCCAGCTCATTGTTGTGAGGGCCTTTGTCATTTGCCCCGTGTGGTTGAAACGCGATACCCCGAGGATGAGCAATGAGTAATGGCAGTGAAACCAGCCATGATGGGAAACTCGTAGAGTGCCCTGACAATACCACGGGAAATTCCTGTAAGCTTATTGCCATTCTGTTAGAATGGAGGTGGGGGTTGGTTTGCACTTGAAAAATGTAGCCGAATAATTCTGCCGCTCGTAGACAAATAAAGGTATTCCTTGAATGTTTTCTCACAATGAACTGGTTGCAAAGCCACTGAACTACTAACGTGGTGAGCTACGGCCTTGCTTCTGCACGGGTGATCCATGCCCCATTCGCATCGGCTGGATTTATCAAGAACTCTCAACGTTTTGAGTGGAAATGGCCACCTTTGTTGCTGGAAGCGTGTTTACCTGATGCACAGCAGGAAAATATTTACAGTTCGAGCAGCACTTGCCGTCCCTCGCGTCAAATTTACCAAATACCTCGACAGTTTAACGGTGTCATTTGCTGGAGTGCCGTGATGAGTGGCAGGCCTTAAAAACTCCCAGCGGTCATCCATAGTTGCCAACAGAAAATAAGTTTATTAACTTTCTCAGAGGGCTCTTAAAGCGACCAACAAAGCCGTCTGCTGCTGCTGCGGCATCGTGAGGCCTCATTGGAGGGCGGCAGGGCTGGCACCGTGGGATCGGCACCACCCGGCACAGCAGAATGAGTCGCAGCATCTGCTCGCTCACACGAGCAATGCGACCACACCCGTCTCTCTTCACATCTTGTAATTTACCTCTGGGATTTCAACATCGCGAAAAAAATCGTTAAAATGTAGTCTCCATCTTCGTATGGATAATGGGCCCTGAACCGGTGGTGGGAATTGAACACACACACGGTGATGCCAGCCTCTCGTACGGCCACTGCTATTGGCTTGTCACAAAAAGGAACGAAGGTCAGAACCCACAGCAGTCTGGGATTTGACCTCTTAACTGTTCCATTGTGAGTCACTGGGGTTGATATGGAATGCCAGAGGCAGGTTAGTAGTGCTGGTTCATTACAGGGCATTCATCCTATGACCCACGTCAAACTGTGGGCGGGCATCACATGGCTTGGAAATGAACGCGGCTTCACTTTGAGCTTCACTATGTGATTAGCGATCCCAGGGGAATGTTAACGTTCCTTTCCCACTGGAGCCATGGTTTAGGGAAATCTGCCGCTATGAAGCAAGCGGATCCTTCTCCTGCCACGGAAGACGGCAGAAAACGGGCAACTTGGGGTCCCACATCTGAACACTCAGGCAGCACCACTGAGGACCTCTATTTGAATCCGAGCCCGAGGTCCGCACATGTAGGGAGAGTGATGGTCTCTGGCTGGCTACCAACACTTAATGATCAACGTGTGAGGTGTGTGTGGTGTGCAGATTGTTTCTATCCTGTCCACCTTGGGGTCAAACCGCTTGCTTGTCTTTTGAAGTGAAGACCGCAAAGCATAATGGTCACATGATTAACCCTTGAAGGATGATAAGTGAGGGCCCGTGGGGTAATTTTTTAATCCATCTATGTATGCCGTCTTAAAATGTTACAGAACAGTCCCAATTATTTATTTAAGAGGTGATAGCCAACCAAGCTTGATTTTCTCTTTTGCAAGGTAGACTTTGGGTAAAGTAATATATTATTTTACGAACTTTTAGTCCCGACTGTTATTCATTTCTATTTCAGTCTACGCCTGTGAATGGTGTCGCAGGCTTTCTTCGTGTACACACTGAATCGGGCAGCAGCTTTGAAATTCTCTGTGGAAGTCGTTAGCTTCTGCAGATAATCTAACCTCCACATTGAGTCAACTGCTTCAGTGGTGAGCATGCGGACTTACAGGCAGCAGCTCACTCACGAAGCATCTCACCCACATGGAGCTCACTCGCGTGGAGCTCGCGTGGAGCTCCGCGTGGAACTCAAGGGCAGCTCCACCCAAGGGCAGCTCCACCCAAGGGCAGCTCCACTCACGTGCAGCTCAAGTGCAGCTGACCCATGTGCAGCTCACCCAAGTGCAGCTGACCCATGTGACGCACACTCAAGTGCAGCACACTCAAGTGGAGCTCGCTATGCTGAATTAATGTAAAATGCTTCACTTGCTCCTTGGATGCCAGTAGCACAATCGGGATATAAAAAGCAACAGGAATTGCTGCGTGTGTTTTGTTTGATGTGCATCTTGCACATTGTGCACAATCTCTGGCCACCGCTGTGCGCACCTGCACGTAATCGCAAGCAAAGAAAAAAAATTGCTTCCTCTTCTCGATTTGAAGCTTTCGTGACTGCAGGGATCCATGCTCTTTGGTTCTTTCGGTAAAGTCATGTGGGTAGAAATAAAACAAAATAAATCACGACGTGTCGATAGCAACACAAGCCAAAGGTGAAAATCGCGATAGCCGCGATGTCTGCTGCGAGCAGCACGATGTCTTCCTTCTTCAGCTCTGGTGAAGTTTTACACGAGCATCACGTTCACCTTCAAGGCTGGTCCAGGCGACATTGATCAAGCCAAAGAGCACGCGGTCACCCTGTGGGCTTGTGTTGTCCCAGCGTGTAGGTTCCAAACGCGCACGGTCAGTCACACGCCCATGGCAACCCCTGTGGTTGTGGAACGCGTTGACTCCACGGTAAGAGAACCCTTTCTTATCATCGGGGGTAGCAATGTAAACAAGCAGACAATACACCTGCTTCCCATATTTGCCTCTTCCACAGATTTTTTTTTACACCTCCCTACCCACCACCCACAGGGCCTTCTTCTGGGAGTGCATTTCTTCTGCGGCATTGGCTTGGTGGCTCTTATCGGGATTCTCGGCTCCCCACACAAACACCACCTGCTCCCCCTGACCCCCGCTGTGCGTCATCAAGCGGCACCCTCCCACCGTTGCTGCTGTTGACCGACCCCCAGTGGGCCATCAATGTAAACACGAACGGCAAACGTGGACTTATTTGTAAAGTTGCCATGCTATGGGCACGCTTGGTTTTGCCTTGTGCAAGCTACCCCTTTCTGTATTGACTCACTTGGTCCAATTCATGTTGCCGGGCTCCTCCGCACGCCCGCCCGACTGTCGGCTTCACTCAACCACAGGACCACAACATCAACACCGCGGTGCTACAGCCACACCAAACCACCCTGCTCTTGGCAAGGTGTCTGTCTCGCACTCTGCCCATTTTGAGCACGTTCACACACAGCCCACAAAACCGCGCCACCCCCACTGCAGCATCGTTCATTCGTCGTCGTCGGCCATGGTCAATCCGCTGCTGGATGAAGGCCTCGCCAAGCCGCTTCCATCTCTCTCACGATTCTGCAGTGCAACAGTGCGTCCAGTACCTGGACATGGCCTGACGTAGGCGTCCTCTCAAACACGTCTCATTCCTTGGCCGCCACTCTCAATTTACTCTTGATCATCGGCCGTCATCCTTTACAGCGACGTGCCCTGCCCTAGACGTGCCCTGCCCGAGCCTCCGTAGTCTTCTTCGTAGTGGACGTTGTCAGTCACCGGCGTCTGTTTTCACCACGTGCTCCTTTCTCTGCCTCTCCAAGCAGCCGTCTCTTTACGCTTCTTTGCCCACTATTCAGGTTTTGTTCGATATTGTTTTGTTCATAACCCTGTTCATGAACCGTATCAAAGCAGGCAGCATGCAGTGATGATGAAACGCGCGCTCCTCTCGGCACATTGCTGCATTACATTTAAATTGTAAGTTCGGCCATGAAAAGCACTCTGAACGTGCTCTCGTCCTCCCCTTTGTTGCATCGTTTTTATTCCAGTCCCACCTGTCACGGCTGCCCCACTTGCCACTTACTCTGCAACGTTTTCAAATTCGTCCCTCCGACCAATATCTCTCGGCTCGGTGAAATAAGAGCATTTTGCAAGCGAGACTCGGGGTCAGCGAGGGCAAAATGTACAGTGGTGCAAACTCCTTGCCTTCTGCCCTGCTCTGGGTTTCTAGTTTTCAAGGTAACGGGTCTCCATGCTGCTGCAGGGGTATCAGAAGTGAGCCATGGGGCCGTTTGCAGCAGGAATACACACACTCCCTTCTGCTGCATATGTAAACGCTGTGTGTGTTGGGTTCCGTGTATTGGATGCCGTGTGTATTTGGAGCTGTGCTACTGTGTATTGAGTGCCCTTTGTTGGGTGCTGTGTGTTGTGTGTAGTGCGCGGTGTGTTGGCTGCTGTTACTGTGTGTTGGGTGCCCTGTGTTGGGTGCTGTTGTACTGTCTGTTGGTTGCCGCGTGGTGGGTGCTGTGTGCAGTGTGCTGTGTATTGAGTGCTGTGTGTGTTGTGTGCTGTGTATTGAGTGTTGTGTGCTGTGTGTTGGGTAGCGTGTGTTGTAAGGGCTCAGGAGAGGAAGCATCAGGTGATACTGGTGGTTATAGGCAGGCTGTCTGGGCAGTGGGCGTGCCACACAGTTGTGCCTTGCAAGCCCAGGGTGTGTGCCTGGGTGATTATTATTTTCTCGAGGTTTTTACATTAACTGGCCCAGCTGTTAATCAGCGACAAAGGTCCCGTCTGGTTTGTTGGTGCTCTGTTTTGCATATTTGTTTTATGCCACCTCTGCAAATTTGTTGGTTTGTGTACCAAATCCTCATTAAAGAAATGTACAATGATGCCTGCTCAACCACAACCTACATGATGATTGCACGTGTTCTGTTACAGGCCACTACAGTTCACCATATTTGCCGTGCGCTATGTTTTTCGTATGCCACGTACCACCCTGTTGGGTGGTACCGGAGGTGAGATGGATTGTGGCATCACGAGACCCAGAGATGGATGGCGGTGGCATCCGGAGGCCTTGAACCAGCAGTGAATAGACAACGGTTGATGATAATGATGAATGGATTTAGTATTTTTGTATTGAAATACATTTAACTTCAAAAGCCGTAAATAGCGGACAGGTTGAACATCAAATGTCGTATACTCTTTGGTTCTTTCGGTAAAGTCACGTAGGTGAAAAGTAAAAAAATAAAAGTAAATAAAAGTAAATTAAATCACGACGTTCCGGATGTAACACAAGTGTCCGCCATCAGGTGGGAAAAATCACAGCAAAACACAGTTGCTGAAATGGGCAAAAGAACTGCGATTACCAGGGGGTTATATTGGTGAGGTGGGGGGCGAAGCCAAGGATAGAGAGAGTGGAGGGGAAAGGACGCAGAAGAAAAATTGAGGGTCGATAGCCTGAAGAGCAGGGGGCGGTCCATGGACACGTAAGGCAAAGTTCTAAATGATGGGACTGAGCAGGACTGGAGATACGGATATCAGAGCAAACTATACAGCAGTTAGGGTTTTAACTGGTTGATAACATCCTTCCAATGATTGCTCAATTTGTATCCATCTTCTCGGTTGAAGTTACGTCCATGTTTATATATCTGGATTGCTTCATGAACAAACCTTTGATAGTAGTAACTTCAAATCTAGAGTAAAATGTTGTATTAAGAAATGAGCAGACGTTGACATAGGGAATAAAGCTTCGGCCACGCTCGAATAAGAGTGGGGGTGATGTTCATCTCTACTGGGGGCCCTAAGCCACTATGAGTCGTCTACATTCCTACGGTAGGAGCCAGTCCTTCTATACAGCCTACCAATGGAGAGTTTAATGGCATTAAATATGTGACGGGGTCAGAGGTTTAATGCAATAAATGCACCATAGAATAGACGTCTGTTGAGAATGTAACGAAGAGCGAGGCTTGTTGATGTGAAGGCGAGGCCGTGCGAGTCTGCAGGGGCAGTGGTGGGAGAGGAACACGAGGGGTTTAAAAACGGGCACGGCAGATGGGAGAAGTGAGGGCTAGGCCAGGGCAGATCCCGGTCGAAATCCACTCGCCTATCAAATGTCCAGAGAGCGTTACGGAGTCACCCATGTGTTTCCATGACATTGCTAAAAAGGTGACCTTTTTGCAAGTTTAAAGTTCGAGGTGAGGAGGAGTGGAAAGTAGCAATGCCATAGTTTTGAATGAAACTGATGTATCACGAAATGTGAGCGTTATTTGTAATTTGTTACGTTGAAGACAAATGTGGACATGTTTGTCGTCGATGACGTAGAGATTTAGCGATCGCGTGGATGAAGGAGGCGGTGGCGGCGAACTTAACACTGTCGGCTGGGCACGGTCGCCGTATGTTGAACTTCTTTCGCACCGTACGTAGCCAACCGTGCTAATCGGAGGTGTTGTGCCCCGTCCCCGCATGGCTGCCTCCGCCGCGTGCCCCTCTGTGGCTGTGCAGCTCGTGACCACCCCGGACCTGTTGCGCGACCAGACCGACGTTTCCCAGGAGGCCAGCGCCAAGCAGTTCCTGTACAGCGTCCTGCGGGAGGGGTGAGTGCGCACGCGCAGACACCCGGCGCTCCACGCACGCGTTCCTGCGCCCTCTCGCCGTCCCGGCGAGCGGACCGTGAGAACTCTAGCGGTGCATGCCAGTTGTGCGAGAGTGGTTGGTGTCGGGCTGCCACCCTTCTGCTGTCTGGCCACCACTGTGGCGAGAGGTCTGTAGGAAAATGAGGTCGCAACCGGGTACCCGATACCCGTACCCTACCCGATACCCGGTTACCTGTACCCGGCCGGGTACGGGTACCCGTTTGCGACCCTGGTGCGGCCGAGTACGGGTACGGGTAGGCCGTGAGTCACTGGTGAGTCACCGTTTGTCACTCATTTCGGGTAGGGTACGGGTACCCATTTGCGACCCTGGTGCGGCCGGGTACGGGTAAGGAATCAAAACCCGTTTGCGACCTCTGGTAGGAAGTCGTTGGCTCCATCCCGTCCCTGACGCCTATAGATTTGGAGTTTGCATGGTCTCCCTGTGGTCGCATGGATTTTTCTCCGTGTCCTCCGGTTTTTTCGCTCCACATTTATAAACACGTGTTAAGAGCATTTGGCTGCTATAAATGTCCACATGATAAACCAGTTGGTTGAGCTATCATTTGTGGCGAGGTCGCTTCTGAAAAAAGAGCTAGATAGCTCAGTGGGCCTTACCTGGTAAAATAAAAAAAAATAGTTTAAGTAGTTTAATTGTTTAGTCTGCTAGAGTTACTTTGGATCCGTCGCTGGTGTTGTCGTTCAAATGTTTAGCGAAATGTAACTCAACCCCAGATGGATACAGCCCTTACTCTGTTTTGAATGGCATGAAAATTCGAAAGCACTGCATTTCAGCATGGCGTCACAAATGTTGAACAAAACCTCGGCTGGATAAGAACATGGCGAAGATCCCAGATTGGAAATTCAACACGAACGTGATTGGTATCTATTAGGGCCGTTAAATGATAACCGTTAAAATGGTAACCGTTTATGTTACTGGTTACAGGGCTGCTCCGTCAAACCCTCCCCCTCAGGATTGCAAGTCACGTGTGCCGACCAGTACACCACACGGAGTATGACAAACACTGACAGGGTGTAATTTACAGTAATTTTGTTTCTTGCTGTGGCTGTCCCACCTGATGACGGAAGCTTGTGTTGCTTCCGGAACGTCGTGACTTAATTTATTTCAATTTTTTTTATTTTATTTATTTTTCTTAGTTTTTTTTTCACCTACGTGACTTTTCCCGAAAGAACTAGAGAGTACTCACAGGGTTGTACTTTTATCTTCATCGGTTTACATTACTGTAGATGCGGCAAACCAATTTTTATGATATGGTTACCGGTTATGAAAGAAAAAAACTATTTTAACAACCCTAGTATTCATATTAACAATGTACCTTGGTTTAATAAGCATTGATTTAAATAGCGCTGTCAGGATCATGTTGCTGTCATTACCGATACGGCCATCGCGCGTGCACTCTTAGACGCAAGCCACAGGTGCAGCGTCGCTGCTGTCCCCGTTAACTCAGATTCAGGGCTGTGGGGGGGCTGGGTAGTTCAGTTGAGTCAATGTCCAATAGAAAGCACCGTGCCTGCACCTGTAGTCGGCTTTGATAGGAGACAGATTCTTGAGATGAAATCACGTTCTCAAGTGCAGTAAGCCAATGGTCTCAGCTAGCATTGTCACCAATGACTACTAATTGTTTTGTTTCTATAATATATTGCATTTTATCGAGGTGCCCGATTTCCTCCCACTTGTATGATCATTTATGGTGTGGAAACATCTAAGAAGAAAAACCCAATGCAGGACCCTCCTGAAAAAGAGCCCTTGGACTGATTTCCTGGATAAATAAATAAGTAATTATTATTATTAAATTTAGAGTGTGAGGGGCAGCACTTTCTGTAGTTTCTGTGGAGTTGTTGCTGGCAGTAGAAATTGTTGTGGATATTTCTGCCCGCAACAACTGCCGTGCCGTGGAGGTTGCCTGCCACGGTGGGGCTGATGCTGTGAGTGGCAACACTCCCAGTGGGTGGTGTGTCGTGTTCCAATTTGCAAAAGTGCTCAATGCACTATTCGTGTTCAGATGTTTAACTCCAGCTAACGTGAACTGTATTTTAATCTTGATTTGAAGCTTTCGTGACTGCAGGAATCCATACTCTTTGGTTCTTTCGGTAAAGTCACGTAGGTATAAAATATTATTATAATTTGCCTCCGGTTTGTTAACTTAAAAAAAATGGAAATAGTCGGTTTGTTTCTATCATTTGGTTGACACTCATCTCCGTGGCGAATACCTGTGCTCGTGGAGGAGATCCCGCGGTTGTATGGCAGTGGCCAGCCTCTCCTCGGGACAACTGCTATTGGCTGTCCACACAGTAGCACTCATATTGGTAGGAACCTCCTGGTTACACCAGCCCACAGGGGATTATTGTGTCCGTCGTGCAGGGAGGGGCTGGGTGGGGAGGGGAGGGGGGGGGTGGGGAGGGGCTGGGTGGGGAGGGTGGGGCTGGGTGAGGAGGGGCTGGGTGGAGAGGGTGGGGAGGGGCTGGGTGGGGAGGGTGGGGGGTGGGATGGGTGGGGAGGGGCTGGTCACCCCGTGGTGCCGTTATAGAACTCAACGTTTAACCTACTCACACCGGCTTGTGCCCGCCCTCACAGTTGGGCATATTTGCGGAATACACCACGCCGCCGTTGACCCTGGCCATTGACCGAGCAACCCAACGTTCCTACCAGCTCCCTCTGCAGGAATGTGCTTCTCCTGACCTCGAGGGATGATATGCTGTGTCAACCGCCAACCCGGATTTCAATTTGTACCTTCATAATAGCGAGCTGCGCCCTCTGCCAGAGTGGCCCTCGCGGGATAATGATACCTACTGATTGTAAAGACCAGTGTTGAATCGCATTTGGCTTCACTCTGTTGTTCTCCTGTGCATTCATTCTTGGATGACTTTTCACTCTGCTCACAGCAGCAGTGCTCTGTAACTTCTCTATCAGTCACATGGCTAGATAGACGTTTGGAATGTTCAGCTATACCCCTTTGAATAAGAGGCACAATTATTACACCATTTCTTAGATTCTCACAATCCCTCTTGATGCACAAACGACTGCGCCGAAAGGAAACACTGAAGCAAGCAGAAGCTTGGAGCCGGGTCAGAGCGGCCTCGCTTGGGATGGACGCCTCGTCCCCGGCGCTGCCTGCGTGCCATCGCGCTGGAGGGGTTAATTGCTGAATTGAGTGCTCATGACAGCTGCAGTGGGCAGCCTGCCCACTCGGGCCGGGAGGCTGGGAGCACAGCATCCCCCCCCCAGGCTTTCTCTGCTCAGTGCCTCGTGCTCCCGAAGCCAAGATCTGGCGTGGGCCTGCCACCCAGAGCCATGCCAACTCTGCCCACTGTACGTAGTGCCCCATTGGGTGGTGGAACTAACTATTCACAGGCATACTTAGCAAAGTGTGGGATGTGCCACCTAACTTTGGGTAGGGGTGTGACGATGCATGAATTAAACAAGTAAGCTCACAACAAATGCTTTACATTGAGTGTGCATGAATAAATGTTTTCTTACTGGTATTTGTTTAAGTTAGTTTACGTGTTTTCTGAAGGCCCAAGTACTCCGTTTATTCATCGCAATGTACGTTTGCTATGTCGTCTTACAATAATTTGCATAAGCGTATGTGTGTTTTAGTTTTATGCGGTATGTGTACATCTTTTTAGTACGCGTGTTCCATTGCATGTCTACTCAATAGTTAGCGGTAGTGCAACGGTTCGTGCGCTGTGGTACGAACTCTGCGACCCAAGTTCAATTCCCGCTCACGGCCAACACCAGTGACGATTAGCTGCATCGGTCCTGGGCCTCCCCAAGGTTTACTCGGCCTGAAATGAGTACCTGGTGCGATCTGTAAACATCGCTACTGCCCTCGTGTTCCGTGACGACCTTCGTAGCTGCTTGCAAACAGTACTTGCCCCAACAGTCTGTTAAAGACTATACGGGGGTTCTTTGTCTTGGTCTCTTTATGTGGGTATGAACATTAGTGAGTGTCACTCAAGACAGTGAACCGGCTAGATCTAGCCTCCTTTGTCTTCCCTCCATTCATGTTCATGCAGTACTCATGTAAGGCCGAGTCGACCTCGGGGAAGCCCAGGTTCAGCTACCACAAAGCGAGTGGATCTTGCTTCATTGCACAGCAGGCAAGGGCGTGTTGGGAGGGTGGTAGCGCGGCATGCTATCCCCTCCGCCTCACGGGGCTCGTTGTCTGCGTGGACGTTGTGCTTCACAGGAACAGCGAGAGCGCGGAGAGCACCCACCGCAAGGTGAACCTGGTGTTTGAGAAGATCCAGACCCTGGGCTCGAAGCGCTCGCAGAGCGTGAGCGTGCAGACCGAGCAGGTGAGCACAGCAGCGGAGGCGAGGTGCGCGTTGCGTCGCCGCTCGCACTCTCTGCTCCCGCGTACGCGTCTAGTGAAGCCCAAGTGATTTGAAGACCCTCCCCCGTGTTCACACACACTAACATCGTGAACACGTTTAGAGTAGACTTAGCACTGCTGAGTGCAATGGCACTTGCCATAGGAAGTGTTGCTACAGCACATTATCTCATGCATGGCTCGATTTAGGTACAGGACGTACAGAGCACATGATAAGTTATACTTGCATTTTTTCTTTGCTGAGCTTTTAGCTGTGTAAACCTTGATAAGGGTTTGAACAAGGGCAGTGGGTAGCCTGTGAGCACGTTTCTCTTTTGAGATGTCTGTTTGTAGAGAGAGACATCTTACAGGGTGCCCCGAGTGCGTGTAAGCGAGTAGCAACAACCTAAATCGGTGTTCATCACTGGATGAGGTTTCCGCACGCATGGACCGACCCTTAGTGTGCTCAACATGAGTGCGGCTTTATGTGCAGCCACTTTACTGTCGATAGCAATCTTCATTTAATCAACGAGGTAAACATCTCGCAAGTGGATTGGCAGCGGTTGAGCGTCGAGCGCACCGTGCCGTGTCATCAGTAATTGATCGATTGTGGGTAGAGGGGCTCCCGTTTCCCACGTCCCTACTTGACCTCCTCCGCACAAGGTCTTCTGATTGGTGGGAGCTGAGCGGCAAATGTCAGTGGTGGCTGACTGTGAGATGTTCCATGCCAGCGTTGCCATTGCGTGGGTAGATGCGCCTGAGGCTTGTTTATTTATTAATAATTAGTGACCCTCTGTCTTGGGTGGCATAATCGTAATGTTATGCCAGTGTCAGGGCACTTTGTGTTTCAAAGGTCATGAATGCACATTCTGTCCTCTTTGTCAAGATAAACGTCATTTAATTTAATGCATAGGTTTTCACGACCAAATTTATAATTTATGATTAGTTTGTTTTTGGGTGAGATCGTGTAGGTATAATGCCAACTTTCAGCTATACCCTCTGGCACGGCAAATCAATCGATGTATCACTTGGGAAAATATGCCAGTTGGTTTGGCCCGATGATGCTCGATGTAACTGCCACAGAAACGTTGAATAAAACATTGTCAAAATCTTGGTCGCTTTTAAATGTTCCGATTTTTCCGGAACCAAACCAGTTGCCATATTTGCCCACGTGTCGGGAGGATATAGCTAAAAATTGCCATTATACGTACACGACGATCTAACCCAAAATAAACTATTTATGTTGTAATATTTATCGCTTTTGACGGTCTCAGCCCAATCACAAAAGATTATCCCAAACAGAAAACAGAGTAAAACGTTTGTTTAGCATATTGTTCGTCATTGTCTGCTGCGTGCTTTCGTGACCGTACGCATGTGCCGCTGCTGCTGCTGCTGTTGTGTGCCCCTGCCAGGCGTACGTGGCTGTGGCGGAGCTGCACACCGTGCAGGCGGAGCGAGCGCAGCTGCAGCAGCAACTCCGAGAGGTGGGCAGCCGCGCGTCGCACGAGGAGAAGGTGAGAGCAGGCGGCGCCGGTGCGTGCGCGTGCGCGTGCGCGCGCGGCAGACGCTTGAGATTGCTGCGCCAACACTCTGTGACCACCTGCGATGGCACTTCCACTCTGCTACAAAGCTCGTGAAAGGCGCATCGTGGTTGTGTGTGTGGACACATCGCAAATCGGTCGTTGTTCGTAATGCACAGGTGGCACCCCTTGTGTTGTGTAAACCCGATAGAGTTGCACCCAAGGAGGAAACCCCTTAAAACAACTTACACGTCTCGAGAATCATTGACCCTTAAGCACCCACTTAGGGGCACAACTTGTGAGCTTGATGACTCGGCGAATCGTTACACCGCTGCTTATTCAGTTTCATTCCTGCAGGCCCTGATAGACTGCACGCCGCTAATGGGAAGCCAACAGTGTTTTTCCCTTTTAATAGACTGGCTTTGTCATAGAAATGTGGAGTTTATACTTCTAGCTTCAGGGCCTTTTGCAGGGTTGACCACCACTCCGGTGTTTGTTGGGACAGAGAGACACTTTTAATTGTTTTTAATGAATACCCGTATGCATATTGTATATCGGAATTTAATATCCAGAGATTCAACAAACATGCCCTTGTACAGAAGATATAGGTTTTATTTTAAATATTAACAAAACTATTTTTAGTTTGTAGTCTTTCCGCCGCAACTTTTATTAGCACGGTTGGCTATATACGGTGAGAAATAAGTTGAACATACATAGGTTTAACGTAGGCGGAAGGAGTTGGAAATACAGACAGAAAATGAATCACTCTTGAAATGTAAGTGCAGCATACGAGATTGGGTAGAGCAGACGGTGTCCGTGGGAGTGCGGTGGTATTTCTTAGTTGTGGAGGGGATTGGAATCCGGTGCAGAGAGTGGGAGTGGGAGTGACGTTTCACTGTCGTTCATTCGAGTGAAGGGGCCGAGCAGCAGAGTTCTGTTTCGTGTGAAGTTCCAGAAGTCAAACAAACAGGCCTCACTTTAAGTTTCCTGGAGGCATGTGTTGGCAGTTTTGGTAAGAATCCAGTCAAATGGAAGGTGTTTCTCTGTTCAGATGAGTAATGGAAATTCGGCATTGCCATGGTGTGGGGCCACTATATCCGTAGTGATGACTGCTGATGACTTCCCATGAAGGAGCACGTATGTTATTTACCTCTCAGGGACGATAGGCTGCATCAACCTCGACCCGGGATTGAACTTTTGCAACCATCTCATTGTGAGTTGAGTGCTGAACCCACGGCGCCACCCTGTTGGCTTGGACTGGCAGTAGAGGTGGTGGGGTATACGATGGATGCCCGGCACACGGTGCAGTGCGTGTGCCTTTAGCACTGTACATGCGCAGTGTAGACGTGACCAGAAACGTGCACTGCGTAGCCCTGTAGAGGAAGACGGAAGCTAACATCACCGTTGAAAGGGTGTCGTTCACCTCTATCTGTTACAACGCACACCTCACTCCGATGAGCTGAAATTCCACCAGCTGGAAACGTGTGTCACCCAGGTGTGCGCAAGCATAGAGAGGCGTGTGCTTTCGTTTGCACCGAGCGACAGAAATAAGAGCTCGTGGAGCGGGGAGCAAATTCAAATTAGAGACGGTGCGTTTATAAAAGTCTGTTCAGCAGAGCAAGTGGCCTTGGGCAGGATACTCTGCGGCCATCTGAAGGAGACTTGTGGCGGAATGGCAGCCAAGGAGCGGTCACAGCAAGAGGGCGACCATTGCCGAGACGACACGATGAGATCCGTAGGAGGGCGGCGCACTGTGTAGCATCGTGGGACAGTCCTTCATCCAGCAGTGGATGGACCATGGCCGATGATGATGGCCTTGTTCGTATAGCACTTTGGTTGATGCCCTTATGGATCAACAACATTATTGTTCTTGGTTCTTTCGGTGAAGTCACGTAGAAGGGAAATAATAAAATAAAATAAATAAAACAATAAAATTATCGCGGCGTTTCGATTGCAACACAAGCAATCGTCATCAGGTGTGAAAACCACAGCAAGAAAATTATTGTTTTATTTATATATATTTTTTATATTTCCCTTCTACGTGAATTTACCGAAACAACCAAGAATATGAATCCCTGCAGTCACGAAAACTTTAAAACGTAAGATCAACAACATTGTTTATGGTCCAGCAAATGTGAATTATTCCACTTTTCAGCATTGCTATCCTGCGCTGTGTTAACTGCGATGTTTTCTGTTATTCTTTTCGGTATGACCACCGGCCACAACAATGTCAGCTTGAACATCCAGTCCGGCCTGTTCCCCACGATTTAAAAGGCTTTTGTTACGCACGCCGCGAGTGAATGGGAACTGTAAAGCTCTCACACGAACATGACCTCAAACAATGACGGCTGTTTTTTTGTGTTGTTTGAGGGGACGTATAGGGATTTGAAAAAAAGACATGGCCGTGACCGACTGTGCACAGATGCCCCCCCCCCTGCCTTTGAAGCGGCAGTGAATATCGGTGTCCATGTGCCCCCCTCTCAGAGTTCTCGAAAGGCAGAGGTTACCAAGGCGCAAGCCTAGTGCAGATGCACGGTGACCCCCCCACTCCGAACGCGGAGCCCTCCACCCCCCGTGTGTCGGTGTGCCGTGTGATTGGTTCCATTTTCTTTCGGTTCATTTTGGAACCCTCCTCGACAAGTTGCTTTTGCATCGGTTCTTACCGTGATTAATGTGTCGACACATGCCAACGGTGAACTTATCTCTAGTATCACGTTTAGCCTGCACCCTGAGGCTCTAGTCTCACGTTCAGCCTGGTCGCTGATGTGCTCGTATCACGTTCCGATTGAAAGCATTCACGTATTACCTGTGGCCAGTTTTTCTGTATCTCCATCCATCTGTCTGTAGCATGGGGGGGGTCTTGATAACTCTCGTAAAGGTGATCCAATATTAGTGACATTTGAGTTGCAAAGCTGTGTTCGTATTAGAGCCTTGTCATCTGGAAAATGTCCAAATTGACCAAAGAGTTGGCCAAAACTTGGCCGTTAAAAAATACTCTTTGGGTCTGTCGGTAAACAAAATAAAATAAATTATAAATAATTTACTTTCTATGTGACTTTACCGAAAGAACCAAAGAGTAATTCCTGCAGTCACGAAAGATTCAAATCAAGTTAAAAAATATATCAATCTAAATGAAAAAGCCTTCTTCATGGCCAAGGCGATGACGTCGCACATATCACGCACCCGATTACTTGTGACGTCATCATGATCTTTTAAAAAGCAGAGGTTACAGTAAAGTGTCATGGTTGTGTAGAGGAGTAATATGGGGACGTGACGTCATGCGCGCTGTCCAGTGCGATGACGTCATGGGACATGACGTCATGCGTGCTGGGCGGGGCGATGACGTCATGTCTCCTCTAGGTGCTTAAGCGGGACCCCGTGATGAAAGCGGGGTCACTTTGGGAGCCCCGGATAGAGAACGGTTGAAGAGCCAGCCAGGGATAGAGATGAAGGAGTCTGCAGAGAAGCCGGTGGTAGTCATAGGAGGTGCTGCTTTCCCCGGTCGGTCGGTGTTGGATGAACCCCCGATCCGACTCGAGGGAGAGAGCCCTGGAGCTCGCCAAGCTAGGAACAGACAGAGTGCAGGGTCGTGTGAGGGACCCAGTATAGGACCCCTTACCCCTGGGGAAGAGTTATCTAAACCCTTAATAAATATCCGGCGCAAGCCCTTACATGAAGATCTGCCTCCGAGTCATCATTTGCACCACAACAGTTGTAATAAGATAGACCCTTAAAGGGGACTTGGGATGTAATGCATGGCCTCTGCTGATGTGCTTTGACTTTGTAGGTGAAGCGCAGGAGTGTGTGGCTGCGCTGTCCTTTCGGGGGTTGTGAGGGATCCAAATGAATGCTTTGCTGCTGCGTGTGCCCACTGCCCAGGTGCCAGGGTCACGAGTCAAAGTGCATCCCGAAAGGGTGCCGGGTCGTTTTGAATCAGAAGTAGAATGTCCACATTTCTATGGTAGTAGTCATACCACGAGCACTGTTAACTTCCCAAAACTCTCGTGATTGATTTCTGGAGGGATGATGTTCTGAGTTAACCCCAGCCCAGATTCAAACTCGCAGCCTTCTGATGGCAAGTTGCCTGCTCTGCCACATCGCTCAGCTGTATACGAGGGCTGCAAGTGAAACGTAGTAACGGTGCGGGTGGTGTGTGATGTGTTGTTGTTGTTTGCGACGTGTCAGAGCCGTGCGGATGCACAAGCAGAGCTGGCCAAGCTGGAGGAGAGCCTGGCGGCGGCGCGGAGGGACGCAGACGACAAAGCCCAGGAGGTGCAGCGCTGGCGTGAGCAGCTGGAGCGGGCGGACGCCCGCCTCGCAACAACGCAGCACTCGTACGGCTCGCAACAGGGGCGGCCCAGCACTCAGTCGTCCCGCACCACTAGAGCCCACGCACCGCACACACGTGCCCTGGCCACACTGGTGCAGCACTCACACTCGTCCCGCACCACTAGAGCCCACGCACCGCACACACGTGCCCTGGCCACACTGGTGCAGCACTCACACTCGTCCCACACCACTAGAGCCCACGCACCGCACACACGTGCCCTGGCCACACTGGTGCAGCACTCACACTCGTCCCGCACCACTAGAGCCCACGCACCGCACACACGTGCCCTGGCCACACTGGTGCAGCACTCACACTCGTCCCACACCACTAGAGCCCACGCACCGCACACACGTGCCCTGGCCACACTGGTGCAGCACTCACACTCGTCCTACACCACTAGAGCCCACGCACCGCACACACGTGCCCTGGCCACACTGGTGCAGCACTCACACTCGTCCCACACCACTAGAGCGCACGCACCGCACACACGTGCCCTGGCCACACTGGTGCAGCACTCACACTCGTCCTACACCACTAGAGCCCACGCACCACACACACGTGTCCTGGCCATGGCGCTGCATGTGCGTCACATTAAAGCTTACACAATACGAAGCGATGTCCACGTACGGTCAAGTCCACGGGTACACTACGGCCCGGCTGTAGGTCCTGGTCAGCCCAGGGTCGAGCTGGAAGATGACTGGGTATGGAGACTCGGTGTGAGCTTGCCCAGGGTGCTCCAGGATAAAGGAAGCAATGAGGCTGTATCCATGTGCTTGGAGCTTAGTGCTGTCTAGCGGAGGAGCCTGGCAATGTGGGGTTTATTGAGGTGGGGTTCGGATGGCGGTTGGGTGAGGCCGGTTGGATTGAGGATTAGGTTTGCAGTTGGGTTGTGGGTTGAGTTTACTTCAGTTGACTTGGAGGTGAGCCGAGATGATGGCCGATTCAGCAGTGTTGCATTGTGGGTTGAGTTGGTAGCTTAGTTGAGATTGGGTGTGGTGGGGGTTTATTGATTGTCCATTTGGAGGCTGGTGGAGCTGGTAGTTGAGTTTTGTGGGAGCGGTAGTGTAGCGGTTAGCGCGCTGCCCTACGAACCTGGCGACCTGGGTTCGATTCCCGCTCACAGCCAACACCAGTGACGATTATCTGAACCGGTCCTGGGCTTCCCCTAGGTCGACTCAGCCTCAAATGAGTACCTGGTGCAATGTATAAACATCGCCACTGGGGAGACAAAGGCGGCCGGGCATGGTGTTGGCCACCCACCCCCTCGTGTGCCGTGCTGGCCTTCATAGGTGCTCGCTAACAGCACTTGCCCCTACAGTCTGTTAAGGCTAAACGGGGGATCTTTGAGTTTGGGGTTTACTTGGAGGTTTTGTTGAGTTGGTGAGTGTATTGCAAGTGGAGTTGGAAGTTGAGAGTGGCAATGGAGGTTGAGTTGGTGCTTGTGATAGTTAAAGCTGGTCATTGTCAGCAGTTGAGTTGGTGGTTGGGTTGAGTTGGAGGTTTAGTAAGAGGTTGAACTGGAATTTGAATGGGAGGTTGACTTGGGTGCTGAGTTGGGAGTAGTGTTGGGTGTTAAATTGTAGGTAGAGTGGGAGGTTGAGTGGGAGTTTGAAGTGGGTCCCGAGTGTGAGGTGGAGTTTGGCGTTGGCTGAGTGCGGTTGGTCTCCACGTTGCCCCAGGCTGGAGGAGGTGGAGGGTGAGCGCTCGGCCCTGCAGCGCGAGATGCGGGACCTGAAGAGCCAGCTGTCGGAAATGCACGACGAGCTGGACCAGGCCAAGCACTCGGCGGCGGAGCAGGAGGAGAGGAAGACGCTGCTGCAGGTGCTCGTGCACGCGCCCGCCCCCATCCCACGGCGTGCGAGCGGCGACACGGCCAGAGTGTGTGTGGCCGTGCACCGCGCTGTGTGCGTGCGCATGGGCACTACACAAGGGTTGGATGTGTTGTACGCTTGCTGTTGTTTACGTGCGTTTGCGCGGTATCATTTAACGTGTGTGTGACCAGATTGATCATGCGTGTAAAAGTAAAACAAGCTTTGTCGCCACATCATGAGGCCTCCTTTGCCAGCACCAAAATATAATAATAGGGGTTTTCCCCTTTTTTCTGACGACAAAACTGAAACCTTTTGCAAGGAATCATGTTTACATTAACCACAATACTTGCAGTCAGAATGCAAACACAAACCAACACTTTGATCATTTATGCATTGTCCTTGAAACTGATTGGTCCACACCAGAGACGGCTTTCCTTCGAGCCTCGTCTCATAGGGTGTTCGACCAGATGACGCCCAATCAGTTTCAAGGACAATGCATAAATTATCAGAGTTTTTCTTTTGCAATTCTGACTGCAAGTATTGTGGTTAATGTAAACATGATTCCTTGCAAAAGGTTTCAGTTTTGTCACCAGAAAAAAGAAAGTGGAAAAACCCCTATTAGTATAAGCATTGTCACATCTATTAGCCGTATTACCAGCTCATAACTTTAGTTGCAAGTGCAGGCATTTAGTTTAGTTTGTTTAACTAGGAAACAACACAACTGGAGAGCAGTTTGTTCGGGAGATGGGCTGATGTGGTACTGGGGAATAGGCCTCTGGAGGATGCTCGTGAATGATGCTGCTGGGGCAGCTGGTGGCCGTCTGTGAGAAATAGAGGGCTCACCACATCACGTAACGCATGGAGCAGCTACGGCGCAGCAAGTTGGCACAATGGGCAGTGTAGATGGTGCATCGGTCTGCATCCGTCACGCACGTTAGTGTGGATGAGACTGTACTGCTGCGTTTGAGTGGTACTGCGTGTGAGCGGTACTGCGTGTGAGTGGTGCTGCGCATGAGTGGTTTAATGAGACTGCGTGCTGCTACTTGTGAGTGTAGATGAGATCGTGTGCTGCTACGTGTTGCTGCACATGCACGGTGCTGCGTGTGAGCAGTGCTGCGCATAAGTAGTGCGAGTGGTGCCGAGTGTGTGTGTGATGCTGCATATGAGTGAGAGTGGTCCTGCTTGTGAGTGTGGATGAGATCGTGTGCTGCTGCGTGTGGATGTGAATGAGTGGCGTTGTGTGTGAGTGGCGCTGCGTGCGAGTGTGCATGAGGCCGCGTACTGCTGCGTGCGCCGCTCGCAGGAGTTGCAGCGGCTGGGCGAGGTGGAGGAGAGCTTGCGGCGGCGCGAGCGCGAGCTGGCGGCGCTGCGCGCGGTGCTGCGCCAGGAGGTGGAGACGCGCGAGCGCGAGATGGACGAGCAGCGACAGCGCCACGCCGACTCCGCCAGCAAGGCCCAGCAGAAGCTCGAGGCCTCCGCCCAGGTGGGGCCTCGCGTCCCGCTCTGCGGTTCGGGCCACCCGCAGTCGTCACCTCCTGGCCGTGCCCAGCGGCGACGGCGGTTGTCCGAACGTGGCCTCGTTCTCTTCTAGGTTGACTCGGCCGAAGTTTATTAGCCGTGGTTGTGGGCCTACACTAGCTATTGGGAGGGAGATGCAGCTGAGCGTGGAGCCGTACGTACACTGGTTTTATTGGATGTTTGTTGATGGCACTTCTGCTAATGTTCCAAAAGTCTAACCAAGGGATTTGTAGTTTTTGTGTTTTAGTTTGTGCTGTATTACACGTGTCTACACATAATACAGTGTTCTATATTCGGTTAGCGTGTGTTGCGCCGGGCAGCAAAAACGCAGCAAGTTGGCACAGTAGTGCACAGGTGGTGCATCTGCCAGCCATGTCAGTCAACCCATGGCACCTGGGTCTGTCCCGTGACCTGCCAGCAGCAAACCTTCGATACTTCACGTGTCCTCAAAGTGCACCTAGGCTGGCACAAGTGCCGTGGTGATGTCAGCTCTACTGAGTGGCGAATGGCGCCTGTTGTTATTCTTGTTGCTGTGTTTTTGGTAGTGTGTAGTGGTCAGCGCAACGTGCTGTGTAGCCGGAAATCACGAGTTCCATTCCCGCTCGTGACAAATCGGTCGCAAATATTGTAACTGCACCCTGGGCCTTCCCTAGGTCGACTGAAAATATCATCACTGGCGAGACAAAGTCAGCCGGGCGCAATGTTGGCCACAACACCCCCTCGTGCGTCGTGTCACAGGTGCCCTAACAGCTGAAGGGCCACGTCAAGGATCTTTGTCCCTGCTTTGTAGCGGGTGCTGGAGCTGGAGGCGAGTGCCGGGGAGTCGGGCCGAGCCCGCTCCGTGGCGGAGCAGCAGGCGCGGCGCGCCGAGGCGGAGCTGTCGGAGCTGCGGCAGGAGCGCGAGAGGCTGCAGGCCGAGCTCCTGCAGCTGAGGCCGGCGCTGGAGGCGGCGCGCAGCGACGAGGACACGTGGAAGGGCCGGCTCGGCCGCCTCGAGGTGAGAGCGTCGCCTCGCTCGGACGCCGTTGACCACGCGGGGCTGGTTCCCTGTCCGCCCCCCCCCCCCCCCCCCCCCCGCGTGGATAGCCACACGCAAGCGGACGCTGCCAAGTGCTTGCAAGGGAACGGGGGGCGTGGGGGGGGCCTGTTGATTTTTGTGCAAACGTGTCCATCCCTCATAATCAACTTTTTGGGTTAGATCGCGTTATTTATAAATGTGTCGTAACCCTCCACCACCCGACACGGCCAATCAGTAAAAAAGTGTCATGTTGACAAAAGACAAATAGTTCACTGCTTTAGCCCACCGGTGTGTTGAAGCGTGAAACCACAACATTTACAATTTTTGAGTACGACGTTTCGCTGGTAATTGCATCCAGCATCATCGGGCAATTCGCCCGAATGGTGAGTAGGGTTATGACACATTTATAAATAACGCGATCTAAACCCAAAAACGTTGATTATGAATAATATTGGTCGCGAAAGCCTACGTGTGTACATCCCTGCCTGCTGCTTATCGCCTCCTGCCTCCAGATGGCCAATGTCGATTGGCGAACAGTTACACAGGCCGTGGTCATGTTTCCTTCATGGACTAGTTAGCATTTTGAATGCGTGTTTCTCCAGACTGTCCACGATGTAACCATGTGGTCACGTGAAATATTGGGACAGGGTAAAATCAACGAATGGACAACAATAATATTACAAATTTCCTCGTGGTGTTACGCCAGTTACAACTTTCTGTGCTGGTGTTTTAGTGAGGAGTGTTCACTGTGTTAGGAGTGTGTCGCGATGTGTGCAGTTGCTATTGAGGAATGCTCGCTCTGATTGGAGTGTGACGTGTGGTAGTGCGGTAGTGCGGGTGTCGTTTGTGAGTGTTGCGCAAGACGTGTGTAGTGCGGGTGTTGTCTGAGTGTTGTGCAAGACGTGAGTAGTGCGGTAGTGCGGGTGTCGTCTGTGGGTGTTGTGCAAGACGTGCGGTAGTGCGGGTGTTGTCTGTGAGTGTTGTGCAAGACGTGCGGTAGTGCGGTAGTGCGGGTGTCGTCTGTGGGTGTTTGGTAAGACGCGAGTAGTGCGGTAGTGCGGGTGTCGTCTGTGAGTGTTGCGTAAGACGTGTGTAGTGCGGTAGTGCGGGTGTCGTCTGTGGGTGTTGTGCAAGACGTGTGTAGTGCGGTAGTGCGGGTGTTGTCTGTGAGTGTTGTGCAAGATGTGCGGTAGTGCGGTAGTGCGGGTGTCGTCTGTGGGTGTTGGGTAAGACGCGAGTAGTGCGGTAGTGCGGGTGTCGTCTGTGAGTGTTGCGAAAGACGTGTGTAGTGCGGGTGTTGTCTGTGAGTGTTGGGTAAGACTGTGTAGTGCGGTAGTGCAGGTGTCGTCTGTGAGTGTTGCGCAAGACGTGAGTAGTGCGGTGCTGATTGTGTTCTCTGTGAGTGGCGGGCGTACTCACTGACACGTGTGTGTGTGTACGGTGTGCAGGCGGAGCAAGCTCGTAAGGCAGAAGCCCTGGAGAAGGCCGATGCCCTGGAGGTGGAGATGGAGGCTGCCCAGCGGACTCTACAGACTCAGCTGGAGGAACTGGAGGTGCGAAAGCCACCGTTGTTCTGCCTCGCTGGCAGCAGGCGTAGCCCCAAACTTGTTTCTGAATCTTTTCGCAAGTGGATTACCGCATGGGTGGAAAAAACTCGATTTTCCCAGCGGCAGGCATCGGGTTTTTTCATTAATACAATTAAACCCGATTTCGGGGAATTAAAACCTGGTTTAATGAATACGAATCTCGGCTTAGGCTGCTTCCTCGTCGGTGCTGCTATCGTACTCGGGGTCGTCGGGCACGGGGTAGTCGTAGAATGCGGCGGGCAGGTTGGTCTTGATGAACACGAGCTTCTCCTCCACAATCGTGGGCGCCGCCAGTGAGTTCCTCATCTTGGAATGGATGAAGCCCATCGTTGAGAAGTTGGCGAAGTGCGGTTCTGCAATTAGAAGCAATTTAACCGGATTTCTTCCAATCTCAGATGATCGATTACTGAGACACGAGAGGGCAGCCCGGCCCGTGGACAGGCTGAAGTGGCACTCGCACGAAGACCCTAATCAGACTTCTTTCATCACCCGCCAGTCACAAACTCATCTGACCCTTGACACTCATGAGCACCTGTTTAGTGCCCTCACGTAAAATCCCAGTGACGTACGTTTTACCGTAAGCCATGCACACCCCTAGGTGGGTCGAGAGTTTAAAATCAGATAATTGTTTTTTTACCCTTTCATCTGGCAACAAAACTGACACCTTTTTTACAAGGAGTCATGTTTGCATTGACCACAATACCTGCGGTCGGAACGCAAACAAAAAACACAACTCTGATAATGTATAGCACTTTTGTTTGCATTCCGAACGCAGGTATTGTGGTCAATGCAAATATGACTCCTTGTTTAAAAAAAAAGTATCAATTTTGTTGGCAGATAAAAGGGTAAAAAACCAATTATCTGATTTCGCTACTGGCAAAAGGAGGTTCCAATGGTGAGTTTAAAACCAGTGCTTGCCGTGCCGTGGTCAGCATGAGCCTAAATTTGAAGCTTTCGTGACTGCAAGGATTCATACTCTTAGTTTTTTCAGTAAAGTCACGTAGGTAAAAAATGAAATGAAAATTAGTAAGGCACTCACTTGATACAGCAAATCTAGCTGTGACGGTCCCACCTGATGACGGAGACTTGTGTTGCCTCCGAAACGTCGTGATTTTTTATTATTTCACTTCTATTATTACTTTCATTAATTTAAATTTCATTTTTTACCTACGTGACTTTACCGAAAAAACTAAGAGTACAGCATGAGCCTGCCGTGGTATTGGCAGCCAGACGAGCGTGGTGCTGGCATCGGCGCTGCCTCGTGCAGCGGCGTGCCCACTTTTAGCACCTGTCCCTACGGATGGACAAGGCCACGCAGGGAGGGGGGGGCCCTCCGTTGTTGTGCGAGTCATTCATTGCTGCGAGTCTGACCTGGGGCTCGCAAGGTCTGAGCCTACATTGATCACTTGTTACACGGTAAACGTTCTCCGTATGGAGACAAAGGCAGCCAGGCATGTTGCCGCTCGCCACCACCGCCACCACCCCTTGGTGCCATGCCGGCATGAGCAGGTGCCTGCTGGAAGCACCGCCCGCCCTCGCAATAAGGCAGGCTAGAGAGAGGATGTTTGTCTTTGTAAACATAGTACGCACCCATACTCTTAGGTTTTTTCGGTAAAGTCACGTCGGCCAAAAATAAATAATAAAATAGATATTCAAAAATGATAGAAATAATATAATAAATCATTATTATTTCTATTATTTTTTCATTATAATAGAAAAAAATTTGAGAAACATAATAGAAATATAATAAATCATTATTATTTCTATTATTTTTTCTATAAATTTTTTATTATTTATTTTTTCCCGACGTGACTTTACCAAAAAAACCTACGAGTATGAATCCTTGCAGTCACGAAGGCTTCAAATCTAGAATAATTTGCACCCATCTGAGTGTGATGTGTTGTGTGTGTGCACTCCATTGTGTGTGTGTGTGTATATTTTTGTGCGTGTGTGCGCATGTGCAGCGCAAGTGCAGCAGGCTGCAGGCTGAGCAGCAGGAGCTGACTGCACGGCGGCAGAGCTCGGAGCGCCAGCGGGAGGAGCTGAGGCAGGAGCTGGAGCACGAGAGGGAGAAGGCCCAGCAGCAGGAGCGCGCCCTGGAGAGACTCCGCAACGAGGTGCCGCCCCCCACTCACTTGGCACTCGCTCTCCACTCACTCGGCACTCGCTCTCCACTCGCTCTCCACTCGCTCTCCACTCGCTCTCCACTCACTGTCCACTCACTCTCCACTCACTCTCCAATCCCTCACTCTCCACTCACTCTCCACTCACTCGGCAATCACTCGGCACTCACTCTCCACTCACTCGGCACTCACTCGGCACTCACTCGGCACTCGCTCTCCACTCGCTCTCCACTCGCTCTCCACTCGCTCTCCACTCGCTCTCCACTCACTGTCCACTCACTCTCCACTCACTCTCCAATCCCTCACTCTCCACTCACTCTCCACTCACTCGGCACTCACTCGGCACTCACTCTCCACTCACTCGGCAATCACTCGGCACTCACTCTCCACTCACTCGGCACTCACTCGGCACTCACTCGGCACTCACTCGGCACTCGCTCTCCAATCACTCGGCACTCACTCGGCACTCACTCGGCACTCACTCTCCACTCACTCTCCACTCACTCTCCACTCACTCGGCACTCACTCGGCACTCACTCTCCACTCACTCGGCACTCACTCGGCACTCACTCTCCACTCACTCTCCCCTCACTCGGCACTCACTCGGCACCCACTCTCCACTCACTCTCCAATCCCTCACTCTCCACTCACTCGGCAATCACTCGGCACTCTCTCCACTCACTCGGCACTCACTCGGCACTCACTCGGCACTCACTCGGCACTCACTCTCCAATCACTCTCCACTCACTCGGCACTCACTCGGCACTCACTCGGCACTCACTCTCCACTCACTCGGCACTCACTCGGCACTCACTCTCCACTCACTCGGCACTCACTCGGCACTCACTCTCCACTCACTCTCCCCTCACTCGGCACTCACTCGGCACCCACTCTCCACTCACTCTCCACTCACTCGGCACTCACTCTCCACTCACTCTCCATTCACTCTACACTCACTCTGCATTCACTCTCCACTCACTCTCCACTCACTCTCCACTCACTCTCCACTCACTCTCCACTTACTCTCCACTCACTCTCCACTCACTCTCCACCCACTCTCCACTCACTCTCCACTCACTCTCCACTCACTCTCCACTCACTCTCCACTCACTCGGCACTCACTCTCCACTTACTCTCCACTCACTCTCCACTCACTCTCCACTCACTCTCCACTCACTCTCCACTTACTCTCCACTCACTCTCCACTCACTCTGCACTCACTCTCCACTCACTCTCCACTCACTCGGCACTCACTCTACACTTACTCTCCACTCACTCTCCACTCACTCTCCACTCACTCTCCACTCACTCTGCACTCACTCTCCACTCACTCTCCACTCACTCTCCACCCACTCGGCACTCACTCTTCACCCACTCTCCACCCACTCTCCACCCACTCTCCACCCACTCTCCACCCACTCTCCACCCACTCTCCACTCACTCTCCACTCACTCTCCACCCACTCGGCACTCACTCTTCACCCACTCTTCACCCACTCTCCACCCACTCTCCACCCACTCTCCACACACTTTCCACCCACTCTCCACTCACTCTCCACTCACTCTCCACCCACTCGGCACTCACTCTCCACCCACTCTCCACTCACTCTCCACTCACTCTCCACCCACTCTCCACCCACTCTTCACCCACTCTCCACTCACTTTCCACCCACTCTCCACTCACTCTCCACCCACTCTCCACTCACTCTCCACCCACTCTCCACTCAATCTCCACCCACTCTCCCCTCCCTCCATCTCCACCCACTCTCCACTCAATCTCCACCCACTCTCCCCTCCCTCCATCTCCACCCACTCTCCACTCAATCTCCACTCACTCAGCACTCACTCTCGCCTCTCTCCACACACTCCACTCACTCTCCACACACTCTCCACTCACTCTGCGCTTGCTCTGTACACTCTACACACTCTCCCCTTACTCAGCACTCATTCTGCACTCGCTGTCATAAAATCCACTAAATATCTCAAATTCCTGTTGTGGATATTCAGAACGTCTTCCGCCGTTGTGCCGCTTTTGCAAGCGTTTCACTTGCATTCACCCAACGTGTGCCTTCAGCAAGAGCCTTGTCTCCGTGAGACTTTGCGGGCTCGAAATCCAGGAACCCTCACTCCCCAGAACGTCCCAAACTTGACTCGTGAACGGCAGGAGGTCGACAGTGCAGATGGGGGGAAGGGGCGGTGAGCAGGGAGGGTAATTGGGGTGGGTGACATTGCAGTCTGCGCAGTGGCCACTGGAGCGGAGTCCCTGCCAATAGGCAGCGGGTGAAAGGGCTGAGAGGTAACAGGAGGCAAGGTCCGTGAAGGCTTTTGAACACGAGGGCAGATTCACAGAGAGTGTTGGGAGGATTTGGAAAAACAATCCAATTGATTGCCGATTGTTTTAGCCTAACGCAGGCTGGCCACAAGCCCCAATCGCACAACAACCACACACGTCACACACGGTTGCTGTGATCCCTCAACGGATCGCATTACCGGCTGGAGACGCAAGGGTACAATACTGCCGGCACCCATTCTCGTTTTTCAATTGTTTTGTTTGGTGGCCGCTATTCAGCGAGAAACATTAAACGGGTTTAAACCCAAGCCTGTTGAGATACTTGATGTATATCTGTGTAGCTATGTCCCATGTGTCTTTGTATAAGAGGTTCACGTGTGCCTAGTTTTGACGTGCAGCTCTTCATCTCTGCGTTCATGGCCAGATGCTTGTGGTCTCGAGGCTAGGACAAAGCGCGTCTCCAGGACCGATGACAATGTTGTGTAGGGTAGAAGGCACACCATGAAATGGGTGGAAACTACGGGCCTCACGCCCCGAATACTGCCCCCTATGTGAGAGCTCTTAGGCAGCACGTTTGGCTCGCTACCATCCACGTTTGGCTCCAGCTTGTGAATTCCCAGACCCTTGGCCACGGCGAGTAAGCCTGATGGTCCTCGTACAGTCACGAGTTCTGACCGAAGAAAATGTATTTGCTGCAGCTTAGCAGGGGTGTAAAACAACCACCCACACAGCTGAAATGAGTGGCCTGTGAGCTGCTTGAGATGCTGCCGGACCCGGCCTGCTGTTACTGGTTCCCTGTGACGTGCGGTTGTGCTGTCAGAGAGTGCTGCATGAGAGAAAATCCTTGACCTGACTGTGGTTCTTTCGGTAAAGTCACGTAGAAGGGAAATAATAAAATAATAAAACGATACAATTCTCACGACGTTTCGATTGCAACACAAGCAATCATCAGGTGTGAAAACCACAGCAAGAACATTTTATTGTTTTATTTTTATTATTTTATTGTTTCACTTCTACGTGACTTTACCGAAAGAAGCAAGAATATGAATCCCTGCAGTCACGAAAGCTTGTAATCTAAATTTAGTACTGTACCGCATAATGTTTATGTTTCATCTATACGCGGCTGGATCTCTGTTGTGCAGTCGCAATAGAATTGTCTAAAAGTCCAATAACATTAACAAGAAAGTATTATAACAAGAAGTTATTTTTCAAAACAGTATATTGTATTTAACGTACAAATGCGCACCACACTCCAATGGCACAGCCGGAGAAAGACGCAAGCATACAGTAAAAAAAACAATGATATTAGTGTAAATTAACAATAATAATCTAGATACATATAAAAGACAAAGCTGTGATTATGTGTGGCTGTTCAAAACGTTTAGCGAACTTCCCGCAACAAACTTGACATTTGCCATGTGGGTACGTTCCAGACTGTACACCATGTAAAAAATATTAAAATAGACTTGTATTTTTTTTGGGGGGGGGGCTCAATAATGCATAGATTTTTTGCACGGCAAGTGAGCCGGGTTGTTAAAATGCACCGAGGTGTCACAGTGGGTGCAGCACAGCTGATGCACCTGTCAGCCATCTCATTTAGTCAACCCATGGCACCTGGGTCTGTCCCTTGACGTCCTGCCAGCAGCAGAGAGCCTTCCACACTTCACGTGGCCTCAAGGTGCGTCTAACCTGATTAAAATAAATAACAGATACCTTCCAGAACTACATTGGCACAAGCACTGTGGTGATGTCGTCATCGCCACTCTTGTGGCACGTGTCAGTTGCTGTGTGGCATGTGGTGCTGTGTGTGTTTACAACGAGCGGAGCGCCGGATGGCTAAAGCACAGCAAGTTGGTACAGTAGGGGGCACAGGTGGCGCATCAGCCAGTCATCTCGGTCATCTCAGTCAGTCGACCCGTGGCACCTGGGTCTGCCCCGTGACCTGCCAGCGGGCGTTCGACACTTCACGTGGCCTCAAGTTGCACATGGCCTGGCACAAGCGTCGTGGTGACGTCACCGCCACTTAGTTGCGAATGGTGGTTGTTGTTGTTATTTTATGTGTACGTGGTCATTGTGTGTGTGTATGCTGAACTTCTTTCGCACCATACGTAGCCAACAGTGCTAATCGAAGGTGTGTGTGTGGGTGCGTGTGCTGTGGGTTAGCTCTCCGAATCGAGCGAGACATCGGCCAGGGCTGTGAAGCTGCGCACCGAGTTTGAGGAGCTGAGGGAGAAGGCTTGGAGGGACTCGGCCGACCTGCAGAGGCTGCTGCAGGAGAAGGCCCAGGCCCTGGAGGTGTCGATCCAGCACAACACGAGGTTCCAGCAGGAGGTGAGGCTCGGCCTGAGGCGGTCTGTTTAGCCTCCATCGCCCGGCCGTGCACACGCATTGCAGTCGTGCTTGAAGCAGATTGCGAGCAGTTGGCTTCCATCCTGGTGCAGGGAATGAAATGGGGCCCCCTGTTCAATTTCCCCTCATTGTGGCCCAGCGTCTGGGCTCTCCCCCTGCCCGTGGGCCCCAGCAGTGCAGTTGCACCGCCTGCACACTGGGCAGTGGTGCCACTTCGCCTGTGCTGCGGTATGTGGAACGCGCGGGGCTGTGGGAAACTCGGTGGCTTCATGCGCGCCTCACCAAGCCTACTCGGAATGAGTTTCCTGTTAAATCTATTCATATATTTTATTCTATTTTATATTTTTAGATTCAATTTTATTTGCATGTATTGGCTTACATTCTTTATAAACTAATCATTGCAATGTTTTGCTATATTAGTCATTGTATTTTAAATTTTTTCGCAAAGTTTCATCGGCAACGAGCAGCCGTTGAACGCATCCGTCTGTCTGTGGACACGACGCACGAACCCGGTTCAATGCTGTGTGTTACGGGTAATGGCATCACTGCACATACACACACACCTGGCATTAGCCAGGCAGGAATCCAGCCAGAAAACTTTTTTCTGATGTACCGAGTGATCATTTCAGCAAGAGATGTGGTGGAACTTTTGGTGAGAAAAGAAGAAAATCGGCGACAATGAAGTGACGTTACTCCCTGTCACGGCACCTTTTGGATGAATCCAAAAGCAAAACATTCGTGACATCCAAAATGTCGTAATCTAGGCCCCATTTCTGGATGTTTTTGGATCAAACTGAAAAACATGAATACGTTCCTCATAAATACGAATCTGCAGCAGCTGCAGGAGAGAGTCGTGAGCTGAAATTCGGAATATGCTCGTCCCACCGTCCTTCCAGAGTTGCTCAAATGAGTGCCGCTCCGTGATAACACAACAGTGATGTCCTATGGATGATATACTGGCCACCAGCATAGAAATGTGGAATTTCTACCACTGGCTTTGGGCCATCATCAAAGATGAGCGCAAAGCTTAATGGTTGTTTCAGACACTTGGATGTATCGCAGGGCTTGACCACCCGCCCCCGTGCGGTCCTCTGGTCGTGTCCGTTTGAGACGCCGCATAAATGAGGCGGCCGCGCGTGTAGTAGATTTCATTGGCAAACGTGTTTAGTGGGGAAAAATACAAATGCGTGCATCACCACCTTTATAGCGACCCTTTACCACTGCACCATGGCTCGACGAATGTCAGCCATCGCTGGCATTGATAAATGTGAATTATTAAGTGGCGAGAAATGTCATAATTTGACTCCAGCCATCTTAATGTGAATGTATTAATGCTCGACCAAGCAATGCGGGGCACGTCGGTCCCTATCAGGTTAGTGTCGTGTAGTCTTCGAGTGTAAAAACATCGGCGTGTGTGTCTCGCTTTGGGAAACAGTCTCGCGTCGCACGAGTGCCATGGCTCGTGCCACTGGCAGGGAACAGCGGCGCCGCGCCCAGAGCTTCCTGGCTGCGTCCTGCCCCGCTGTGTCCTCGCTGCTGTGCCGCGTGCTGGCTGCATCCTGGCCTGCTGTGTGTCCCGTGTTATGGCCACGTCCTGACCGCATCCCGCCCCGCTGTGTCTTGGCCATGTCCTGCCCTGCTGTGCCGCGTCCTGGCCGCATCCTGGCTGTGCCCTGGCCTGCTGCGCTCTATCCTTGTCGTGTGTGTTGTGTGGTTTCCCTGTTGCGGTGTTTGTGATGCTGACCTCGCTGGACTTTGCTCATTGCTGTTTGTGTTGTTGAGTTGTGCGAGTCCGTATGTGCTGTATGTGCTAGATGTGTATGATTGCTGTATGCAGAATGTTCTATGGGTGTTGGGTCCTTGATATGTGTATTGATGTGCTGTATGTGCTGTGTTATTGAGATGCTGTGTGTGTGTGCTGGGCATGATGTGTGTCTTGATTTGCTGTGTGTGTGCTGCATGTGCTGTGTGTGTGCTGGGCATGATGTGTGTCTTGATTTGCTGTGTGTGTGCTGCATGTGCTGTGTGTGTGTGTGTGCTGGGCATGATGTGTGTCTTGATTTGCTGTTTGTGTACTGCATGTGCTGTGTGTGTGTGTGCTGGGCATGATGTGTGTCTTGATTTTCTGTGTGTGTACTGCATGTGCTGTGTGTGTGTGTGTGCTGGGCATGATGTGTGTCTTGATTTGCTCTGTGTGTGCTGCATGTGCTGTGTGTGTGTGTGCTGGGCATGATGTGTGTCTTGATTTGCTGTGTGTGTACTGCATGTGCTGTGTGTGTGTGTGCTGGGCATGATGTGTGTCTTGATTTGCTGTATGTGTACTGCATGTGCTGTGTGTGTGTGTGCTGGGCATGATATGTGTCTTGATTTGCTGTGTGTGTGTGCTGCATGTGCTGTGCGTGGCTGCAGCTCAAGAAGGTCGAGCGGGACGTGGAGCGCGAGCGTGGCGAGCGGGAGGCGGCCGAGCTGGAGAACCGCCGCCTCGACCGCAGCCTCCAGGACATGCGCCTGGAACTCAGCTCGGCCGCTCTGCGCAAGGACAACCCGCGGCAGGTCAAGGCCCTCGAGGTAAAGTTGCCACAGCCGCCGTACAGCAGACCGGAGCCGGGCTGGTGCTGCGCTGGGGCGAAACTAGTCCACGTCTGGGTCTGACCCACGACCTCATTAACTGGTGCCTCGTTTCCGTGTTGTGGGCCCTCGGTGTGCTTGGCCCCATGCTGAACATGGGCTGGGGCATCACTCGCCACACTCGGCCTGTCATGCCACCATTCCTCGCTCTTCTTCCCTTCTGCCAGACTCGGCCGCTGTCGTACGGTCGAATCTCGAGCCTCGCATTCTACCTCGCAGCACCGCACTGTGGCGCACCGTCGCGGCTCGGGACTCCCCCGGCCGCCACCGCAATCAACACAGTGTCCCTGTTCCAGTTCCCCATCCCGGTCCCCGTAGGGAGAGAGGGTAGGGAGTGTGTAGGGAGAGAGAGGGGCGTGGGTAGGGAGTGTGTAGGGAGAAAGAGGGGCGTGGGGTAGTGAGTGTGTAGGGAGTGGCGTGGGTAGGAGGTGTGTAGGGAGCGGGAGTGGTGTGGGTAGTGAGTGTGGAGGGAGAGGGAGCGGTGTGGGTAGGGAGAGAGAGGGGTGTGGGTAGGGAGTGTCTAGGGAGAGGGAGTGGTGTGGGTAGGGAGTGTGTAGGGAGAGGGAGTGGGAGTGGATTGTGTAGGGAGAGGGAGTGGTGTGTGTAGGGAGTGTATAGGAAGAGGGAGTGGTGTGGGGTAGAGAGAGGGAGTGGTGTGGAGTGTGGAAGTGTCTAGTGAGAGGGAGTGGTGTGGGTAGGGAGTGTGTAGGGAGAGGGAGTGGGAGTAGATTGTGTAGGGAGAGGGAGTGGTGTGGGTAGTGAGTGTGTAGGGAGAGGGAGTGGAGTGTGTAGGGAATGTGTAGGGAGAGGGAGTGGTGTGGGGTAGGGAGAGGGAGTGGTAGTGGTTTGGGGTAGCGAGTGTGTAGGGAGAGGGAGCGGTGTGGGTTGGTTGTTGGAGAGGACCAGGCCACGCACAGCCACCGACCCTCGTTTACACGCCCTGCACTATGAGCTTGTGTGCAATGCTTCATTCTATGTCTTCTGCTGTGTTGCACAATCTGATCAAAAGAAAGACGATATTGTGATTAAACACATTCAATGGTTTCCGTTAAACATCGAACCTCATTATTCTGAAGCTGCAGGGTGTGGACATTTCTTAGCCTCAACGGCACCGCTCGACAAAAAAAAATTAGCGCCTTGCTTATTTCCCACAGCCCAGCCTAACACAGTGTTGTATCTGTGCTCGCACGGGGTAAGGCGCGTTGCCTGCATGTGTGGAGCATAAGATGTCGTTTGCCCTCGGGTCACGTGTGCAGTGTGGCAATGTGGGTAAGCTACAGCAGTATCGGACCAGTTTATTTTCTCCATGAGGATATTTTATGATTTCAAAATATATTACCGTGTTGTACAATGTGCCAGGCTCGACCATTACACATCGTGCGTGTAAAGTCGGCAAAGCGACTGGCTTGCAGCGAAGGGTAATGAGACCTTCAGAATATATCGATCAATGTCTGTTTTGTAACCAGTTTAAAGTCCATTAAGATAAATTGCCAATTATGTCCGTGTCACCGTAGTTATTTAAGGGTGGTTATATTGCACTGTTCTCTGAGTGATGTTTACTTTTCGCTCTTGAGGCTTGGGTTGCAATCTGCGTGCGTGCAAATGCTCACGTATTTGCAGGAGGGGGGGGGGGTCATTATCATCCACTCTGCAGCAAGGCGACTTGCTTGAACACATCCCTGTACGTCTCACCACTGAGATTTACCCATCGACCCCATGAGCAGAGGGCCCAGCACTGAGCGCACAATCCGCTCTGCACCACCATGGTGGTCCCTGCCGGCCCAGCGCCCCTTCGGCCCAGCGCCCCCGAGGCCCCCTAGGCTGGCGGGAATCCAGTGAGAGTCTGCAAGGTAGAATCTGGGAGTACAGAAAAAATGGGCAATGGCATCTGAGCAAATCACCCGGAACGCACTGATCGCAGAAGCTAAGCAGGGTTGAGCTTGGATAGTGCTTGGATGGGTGATCGCCATGCACGCTACGTTGTCTAGATGGCAGTGAGGCAGTACTACGTGTGGTTAGCAAAGGGCACTGTAGCAAAATCCATTGTTGCACTGAGATTCTACGCTGCCTGCCTCTGCCCACCAGCACCAACTCGCATGGTGAAGTACGTATTGGCAAATCACCGCCACGGCCCGCTCGGATTTGGAAGGTTTTAATCCAGCAGTGGATTGGCCAAAGCAGCTGTGGATATGTGCAAACGTGGCAACTTTCGCTCACCTTTTTTTTGCAAACCAGCATAAAAATGTGAAGAAAATAAGGGTTGTAAATAGAACACACTTTTTATAGTAATGCTCCGAATGGAAAAGGATCCGAGAATCACTTGGTAAACTTTTACTTCATCAGAGGTCAACATTCAAGACGGACTGGGAGTCTCCTTTGTAGACAGAAGGCCTGAGGCTCCTAAAACGTTATGGAACTCCACAGGCACTGGCGGTAAATAGCCTCGTTAGGCCAAATCGCTGCTTACAGTCGGGATCGCCGCCACGTATCGCGACAGCAGAGAAGCCCGGCTGTGCCATACAGGTTTCGGCGGTGTTGGGAGTCATCAACACAGCGCGGTGAGTGTAACTCATCGGCACAGCGCGGTGAGTGTAACTCATCGGCACAGCGCGGTGAGTGTAACTCATCGGCACAGAGCGGTGACTGTAACTCATCGGCACAGAGCGGTGAGTGTAACGGGTGGTCGCATGGTGTGTGCCGCATGCAGGAGCGGGTGAGCACTCTGCAGGCCGAGCTGGAGGAGGAGAGGGAGAACGTGGAGCTCCTGACAGACAAAGCCGAGTGGGCGAGGGATCAGGTACCATCTCCTCGCACACACAGCGTGCACACAAACACATAGCACACACAGTGTGCATACATAGCACACACACATACAGTATGCACACAGCACACATAGCACACACACGCACATAGCACACACACAAAGTGTGCACACACACACATAGCACACACAGGGTGCATACAGCACATGCAGACATAGACACACACAGAGCGTGCACTAGCAGACACACACACACACAGCATACACACACAGCACGCGCACACAGCATGCGCACACAGCATGCGCACACAGCATGCACACACAGCATGCATACACAGCATGCACACACAGCATGCGTACAGGATCTGGCTGTGCTACTCAGAGTTCCGTGGCACGCATCTGTGTCCTTGGTTCTGAGCCAGTGCTGGAAGTTCCACAATCCCACAAAAGCACCACGTGACTCAGCTGACCCTGCCTAGGAGTTGAACCATGAATCTAAACAAACAGGAGCTTGCTGCTCTACCCACCGTGCTCTCCCGCCATGTCTAATCCCTTACAGTACTAATGCCACTTTTATTAATTTACAGTACTTCAGGAGTGCACCATCGGTGCATTAAATGTGTTTATTTTAGCACAGTGCAGGAGAACGGGTGTTTCACACGTGTCATGTGTCTGTTGCAATGCACAGTTGCTCACAGAGTTAAGGTAAGTTATTGTTACGTTTGAACAGTAACTTCTACATTCAGTGATCATGCAAAGCAGTGTAATTACAGCCCTTTGCCAATGCTCTGCTGGATGAAATCCTCCACACGCCACGTCGGTCGTGGGGGTTGTTTGGCCATACTTGGTGGATTGATGGCGGTGGGGGGGGCAGGACCTGTGTGGTTATCACTCGCCCCACTCGTCTTAGCCATGGCTGGGAATTGAACTGAGGTCACCGGGGTCAGAGTGGTCTGTGCGTAACCATTGCACCCCCACCACCCCTCATTACGTTATAGGGATGGCTTAGTTGTAGCCGGAACGGTTCGGGAAAATATTTCCACACACGGCACACCACATCCAGTATATCTCTTGCGATGGCTGTGACCAACTCGTCGTGTGCCTACTACTCCAGTCTGCCAGCGAACCCGAAAATATTCGGTTATAAATGAAGCCTTGTGTACGGGGCCATATAACGTTCATCTATCCAGAATAATACTGCATCAGTGTCATCGAAACATCCTCAGATAGAACCAGTTGCCAACATCTCAAGCAGTTAGCCTGCTTGAAAGTCTTGGGAGACAGCCAGGGAGACTTTACTGAGGAAATATTTAAAAATCCGTGATCATTTAGTTACAACTTGCCCGCACAGTTGTGAATAAGCATCCTGATGACTTGCAGATGTATTTGTGAAATGTATTAAATAATAACATTTGCAACTCAAGGGGTGATACTGGACATCATGTCACTGAATGTGGCACCGTGGTGAAGGTGTGATAGGGTTCATCTGCCGTTGGTTTGCACTTCTGTCACGATTGTATTCAGTAACTTAAACTGATAGCTCTTACCTGTGAGTCGGCATAAAGAATTCCTATTTGCTGCAATGTCCTCGCTTGGTTAACTTGATATTATTTGATGCCTGTGTGGTTGTTGCACGAGTGGTGGTTCAAAGATAAACTAGGGCTGCCACAGTTGTGAGATGTTATGTGCCTCACCTGGCATGCAGGCAGCCGTGGGTTTAATCCTGTATATTTGAAGTCTGCACGTTCTGCCCGTGGTAGCATGGATTTTTCTCCGGATCCTCCGGGTTTTTTTCCCTCCACATTTAGACACATGCATTTAGAGTATTTCTCTGCGGTAATTTCCACGTGATAAGCCACTTTGTCGAGCTATCATGTGACCAGGTTGCTTCTGAAAAAGAGCTGTAGAGCTTAGTAGGCCTTGCCTAGTAAAGTAAAAAAAAATCGTTGAAAATTGTTATCCTATGCTTTTGGTTCACGGATATATGACACTAAAGTTTATTAAACTTACTCTGTTGGTTTGAATATACAATGCGGACACATTTCTCCCACTGGTCATGAAATGGCCTGGTGGCAGAATCGTGAAATTCTTTAGAACAGGCGCATTGCCAATTCAGAAGCATCTCCTGTCACATTCTCACCACGTTGTACCTACTCGCACCCACGTGACAACCTTGTGTGCCGCTCGGACACGCGTCCGCTTGAGAGACACGCGTCGCTGATCTTTACTACCCACCTCTGAAGATTTCGCTGTGAGAGTGGTGCACAACACACTTAACAAGAAACCTCAACACATTCATCAACGACACTGTGGCCTTAAAAGGAAAAACAAGATCTAATAGGTGACATTTCAGGCAATGGGCCCTTCTTCATAGCAGATACATCCTGTAAATGTCAGTGCCCTTGCTACTCTCCCGCAGCGCACAGACACCCTGTTTGCTGCCATCTTGAAAACACCCAGACTGCTACAGGCTGCTGGGAAGCGACGCCGCACAGATATGCCAAATGTTGTCGTGCCCACTCCACGCACATTCAACAGCCTCTTCTTCTTCTCCTACTACGGCTATCTAGAACTCAAAGTGGAAGTTAACCTTGAGCAATCCTCATAATACAGGGTGTTTTAAAAAGATGGACCCAATTTCAAAGCAGTATATTTCACGATAGCAATATGTTACAATTGCACAAAAAGTTACAAACGGTTTAATGAGTTATCAAGTTTTACTAACCATTTTAAATGCTCTATGTGCCCTCCACCTGCTGTACAGACAACATCGAGACGATAGTTCGAATTTGTCCTAAATGCCTCTCAAAGTGTCTTCTTCCACTGTTGTCACCGCTGCCTTGATTCTGTGTTTGAGGTCATCCAGATTGACATATCCCCACAAGAAAAAGTCCGCAGGGTGTGATGAAACACACGCTGCACCGCCAATTACGGATTCAGTCTTGCTGAACTGCAGAACGCAAAACGCTTTGTGTTGCGGGGTCGCCATCTTCCGAATGATTGAGGCTAGGGGCTGTTTGTGCGCTGTGAGAGGCATCGAGCGGAAACTATGCCCCACCCTTTCAAGTGGTAAGAGTTTCATTCATGGGCGGTTCGTGGTTGCAGAGATATGGCGATTTCAAATCTGGTTTGATCTTTTTGAAACACCCTGTACATTGCTCTTGGAGGAAGGGTGTTTAATGCAGATGATGACTCCATCTCTGCGTGATCTACCAATTCGTTGCCAGGCCCATTGAATTACAGCTGGGCATTGCCACATTTAGCCAATAATGATAATTATTCAGCGGTAGATTTCACATTTTCTCTTTGTTGACACTTGATGATTATTTTTGTTGTTGTGTCTCCACTATAAAACATAGGCACCCACCTGTTTGCAAATGAAACAGTTTCTCGCCATCATTGGTTTACCAGCAGCAATTATACATTCACCCAGGGGCTAGACGATGATCATCTGAATTGATCATTACTGATGGTATTAGTGTATCTCCATTAATTTACTAATCGGGAGGAAATTGTGCAACAGCCCTGATTCCTGCTCACGACTAATAACAGTGGCGAACATTTGAACCGGTCCCCGGCCTCACCTAGGTCGGCTCAGCCTTAAATGAATAGCCGGTCCAGCGTGTGAACATCAGCACTGGGGAGACAAAGGCGGCCAGGCAACGGTGTTTTCCACCACCTCGTTTCGTGTTGTGCCAGCCCTTCATAGGTGGTCACGAACAGCATGTGCCCCAACAGCATGTTAAGGCTTTGGGCGGGGGGGCGGGGATCTCTGTGTGTGATGTATTGGGCAGTATTTAGTCACTTTTCTGTAAAAAAAAAACATGGGTTTAGTTCCTCAGCGTGCATGGCGGTGTCGGTTTAGTATCCGACACTGGTCTGGAACCTTCCCTTGCTTGAGTTGGCCTGCACCGAGCTGCTGCTTCGTGCATCGCAGCTGCTCGTACTCGGCACTGAGACTGCAAAGATGATGTTCGCATGAAAACTGCTTTTGCGTGTCCTGCCAATCTTTTACAGGTGTTTAGTCACAGTATTTATAGCTTCACTTGCGCGTGTGTGTGTGTCTTGAACATTCAAGCGGCGCCGATTCAAATGTTAGATTTGGGTAATGAGGACAAAACCTGTGGCTGTGTTAGAATTGCCACGTTGATGGTGCGGCGAATGTCCCCTATCGGTCTGGGTGCCGT